GTATTACTTCCTTTCTTCTCATGCAATATATATTTATGCGCACACACACACACACACACACACACACACATAGACTATTTTCATTCAGACATAGGCACAGAAAAACTATAATAAAAATAGCGCTAAAAGTTTCTGAAGACCTGTTTGTAACAAGACCTTTTACTTTTAAAATTCTCATCACAATTAAATATTTTAAAAAATAGTTCACTTGGCCTGTTATGAAACACTCCAATACTTTTATCTTAAAAAATACAACTTGTTTTCATGTTCATTCCATTCATTGTACCTGTTAAGGTGTCAACTACATTAACTTAGCATGAGAAGGGCAAAAAAATATCTTTGTATTTGGGCCATTTCCGTTTGCAGTGCACAACACTTTTTGGGACTTTAGCTACATTTTAAGTCTTTAGCCTAACCATCACCATCATCTCACCCCCCCCCCCCCAATTAAAAATTTAAAAAAAACCCAATAATAATAATACACACACATACGTGTGGGTATAATAAGCATGAAAATGTGATGGATCAGGCAACTACAGCCATGTACTAAGGCAACCCCCCGACCAATTTTGATGTGCCAACTGGCCCTCCTAAAAGTATTCATCTTCACATTTTTACCTCCAGCTGTTCTTTTTGAGTGTAACCCTTTGTGGCTTTCCCTGCTGAAGCTTGGCCGATGAAGGGCATGACCTTGACAAGCGGAGCATGCTGCCCTAGGATGTCCGCTATCTCCTGCACGCTGTCTCGAAACTGGCTGAAGATCATCACTCGGGTCTCCAGGCCCCCTGAAAAAAAATTATCTATCATCTTTACTGGCTTCAACACGCCTTCTGATCATGTTTCTTATTTATCTATGGGTCTTAATAAATACTCACCCAGTTAATATTCATTTCATCTGGACCCCAGAAATAACCCAGACAACTGATACCAAAACAGACACATGCACGAAAATGGAAAATAATCATCTCTTAACACATTCTACCCACGCAGCGCGAACGGCGTCCCGAGGGGAAAAGGGATGGCTTCTTACCGTTGCCGATCATCGTCCCATGGGGGTAAAGTGTCAAATGGGATATAAACCCTGTTAACACTCCATCATATTTTGGGGAAAATCTAAAGAAACTGGGTGGTAAACATCACCAATTGGCGAAATGAGGCGGCAAAGTGTTAAGGAACAACATAACAATCAAAACAGCAACACACCTGACCCAAGTCCAACAATTACATTTCGTCTCACCACCATGTGGCATAAGAGGACAGGAAAAGTCAAATGAATTAAGTTAAGGAAATATCTTCCTGGTGTAAACCTTTTGTTTAAATATGAGGTGTGCTGACAAAATGAGTTACTTCCCGCAATCCACAAATGGAGATATTGGATGAAAATCAACACAGGGATCAAATTTTTATTTTCAATTGATGTCAATTTCTTCAAGTAAAAGAAACCTTTTATTATTTCAAACTTGTAAATCCTACAAATTTAACCTATAAATTAAACATATCATTTTATCAGCACGTCTCACAAATGTACAATACATTTATGGACTCAATTTCAAATACAGACGATATTTTGTAACCCTATTTATTACTGGTTAACATGGTATTAAATCCCACATGGATAAAGGGCATGTTTGTTTGTTTTAGTAGAGATTTTACGGCGCTCGCAACTGCATAAGGTCATATGAGCGCCAGAAGATTAGAAAGACGTGTTACAAGAGAGTAACAAACATAAAAAAAGAAGGGGAGATAAGGACGATAAGGGGAGATAAGGACGATAGATGTTTGATAGGAAAGAAGAAGCAAACCACACCAGAGCACCCGCCAACCAACCACAATAATGGGCATGTCACAAAGGCGGACAGCAAAAGAAGACAATCAAACCTCACATGTTAGACTATCCCCCACATTTAGCGATGCGAGAAGTGAACTTCTTCCTACGCCAGGCAACTATATACAGTAGTCTCCGCCGAAGATCTCGGGTTCTCGGGAGCAAGGAAATGCGGGATCTTAGGCGAACCGGGATCTTAACCGACGAACCCAAGGAAGAATCTATGGTGACCCATGTTAAGGCTCACAATCTGTAAAATGGTCTCCCTCCACTCTAAAATGAACTGCCGTGACCCCTTGGTGGGTTTATGACGTGGCGAGCAAAGAGTGATTAACCTTAATGGCCTATCACAGTGCATAGCGGCATGAGGCGTGCCATTTTCACTTATTATCCTATCATGAGTCTCAATATCTACGCTTATCCAGTTGCCCTCCCCTTTACCTGTCGACAATTTATAGCTTTCCATCTCTGACCGAGTTCCCTCCACCCCTAGTATAAGAACGTATAGCCCCATCCCCCCCCCCCCAAACCGCCTTTGTCGTTACACACCATTACGTTGTGAACACACCAATTAAAATTCAGTCTAGAATTTTGTGAACACACCAATTAAAATTCAGTCTGTCTCGTAAATACGAGAGTAGAGACAACTTTGCTACAATGGTCAGGGAAGAGTTCACAGTTCAATGTGATATCTCCTGGAGCGAACGTGTAGGTCCTACCCACCCAGCGAGTGATATAAGTTTAGGAGGAGAGTTTAGGTGTGAGTGCGATGTGTGGGGAAAACAAACGCGTTGGTCAGTTCACACCCTGGTGTGATCCCGTCTGGGGCAAACATTGTATCGCTCCATTGAGTTTTACAACGTGTATGTGATCACATTCACGATAGTGGCTGGTCTTTGACGCGATGGACAGTTTATTGATCTCAACTTTTCACTTTTGGTTTATCGGCTGTGCCGGCCTGGGTTTTTGTTCCGCAAATTATGATCTGAAATGAGGGATCTTAGCCGAATGTAGACCTTCAGAGTGAATCAGAGCGGGATCTTAGGGGTGACTTTTGTAGAGTAAAAATTATGTTTTCTTAAAACAGCAGGATCTTAAGCCAACCGGGATCGTAAGCGGTGGGATCTTAGGCGAAGACTACTGTACACCACTGCATGGCACTGAGCTGAAGGGGGGATGCCACACACCCCTGGATTGAAAACAAAAACGACAATGACAACAACAACAAAAACAAATCTTATGACAATTCAATTCCTCACGATTATGGAAAGTTTTGAAGTGATTTAGCACATTGCAAAGCAAGCAACATATCACTGCGCACCAAAATTCGACTCTTTATTTCCAATGTCAAGTCTGTGCTTCTCTAGGGCTGCGAAACTTAGAAGACAACAAAGACAGTGCTGAATAAAGTCCGGACTTTCATCACCAGATGTATGAGGAGTACCCTAAGAATTAAGTGGCAGGATAGAATAAGAAATGAAGAGCTGTGGGAAGGGACAAGACAAAAGGATATAGAAGAAGAAATAAGACAAAGAAAGTGGCGATGGATGGGACACACCTTAAGAAAGCCCAGCGGAAACATCACAAGACAGTCACTGCAGTGGAACCCACAGGGAGCACGAGGCAGGTATAGGCCACGGGAAATATGGAGGAGATGTGTGGAAAGGGACATGAGAGAGGTGAAGCTCATTTGGAACGAGGCAGGAAGGATGGCCCTGGACAGAGACAAATGGAAGGAGCTTGTATGTGGCCTATACCCTGCCAGGGGTGAAAGGCATTGATGATGAGGATGATGATGATGATAATGATGATGATGATGATGACTTATAGTGAACACTTTGTTGCTGTGGCGTCATCACTCATTTATTTTTTTCTCAAATACTATGTTCCTGATGAAGCCTTATTGGCGAAACGTTGAACTGTGAAAAAAATATATTTTTGGAAATACAACAAGGTCTTAACTGTTTTAATACCTTCTTTATACAATGATGATGATGATGATGATGATTTAGCAAAACCTCTTCCAGCCTCTGCATCAAAAAACAATGACAGCTATAACAACAACACATTCTATGCTGATTCAATTCCTCGCTGTTATAGAAAGTCTTGAAGTGATCAAGTACAACCAATTCCACTCTCTCCAGCAACAACAATAATGGCAAAAACCACAGCAACAACAACAACAACACATTCTATGAAGATTCAATTCCTCACGCTTATGGAATGTCTTGAAGTGATCGAGCACAACCTCTTCCAGCCTCTGCATTTTGGGGTGACCAACGACCATCTTGGCATCTCCTGCTGAAGTCCTGGCACACAGACAGATAAGACAGGGGTTTCACAAATACTGTTTGTAACACATAGGCAGATCAAACCATGGTATGGAAAATGTTACTTGTGACACACAGACAGATTACACAGAGCCTTAAAAGATCTTATTTGTGACACGTTGACAGATCAGACAGTGGTATAAAAATACAATTTGTGAGGCGTGCTGACAAAATGAGTTACTTCTCTCGCACTTCACTAATGGAGATTTCGGCAGAAAATCAATAACAGCGTAAATTTGTAGACTCTCAACTGATATCATTTTCTTCAAGGTTACCATGTCTTTTATTATTTCCAACTAATAAATTGTAAAAACTCAGCCTATCAATTCAACACATCTATTTCTACAGGACTAAAATAGGAGAAGCAACTCATTTTCTTGGCACGTCTCACATTTTTCAAACATACACAGATAAGAAAAAGATCTAAAACATACTATTGTAACTCACAGATATAAGACAAAAGTTTAAGAAATACTATTTGTCAAACACAGAAACACGGACAAAGCTGTTCATTGTTGATTACTTGGTTGATTGAAAAATACAATGGGTAATAAATATTTAACACATCATAGAGAACAAAGAAAGGATATATTTCTTTAGCTGCCATTTCATTATCATGACAGAAACTAAGAGAAAGCCTTTGACTTGATTGTAAACATTTGTGAAGCGAGCTGATAAAATGAGTTACTTCTCGAATTCGAGCCCTACGGAAATAGATACATCACATTTATAAGTGAAGTTTTCAAAATTTATAAGTATGAAATAATAAAAGGCATGTTATACTTAAAGAATATGGAATCAATTGAAAATCTACAAATTAGACACTAGTCTCGATTTTTGGCCAATATTTCCATTTAGGGATTGCGAAAAGTCATTCATTTTGTCAGCATGCCTCACATTTTATGTCTCTATTAACACAATTTAGACCTCATAGAGGGAGGAAGAGAGTTACCAAACTATAATGAAATCATAAAACTAAACAACCACATACTTCTTAACTCTTTAAACCCCATCGGACGATGGGAGCATCCGACACTAGTGAGAACTGTTTCGTTTCATTTAGGGCTAGTTTTTTCTTGCTTTTCGGAACTATTCCTGAACCAAGTTTTAAAGTAATGACTAAACCTCTGTTTTCGCCATTCAGAAGTTGGGGGCAAGCTTTTGGGAATATAACGAGACATAGTGCACCAGGTTTAGGTGACTGTAGAAAAAACTCCAGGAAACGGTGGAAAAAACTCAGGGTTTAAAGAGTTGAGAACCCTAGAACAGAAATGTATTAAATAACTACAAATAGTTTTTAATAAATCAATTAACAACAACTGGTGGAAACAGTTACAGTTTTCAAGGACAAGGACAATGGACACATTAAAAGGATGTTGAGGGAGAAGACAACCAGTAAGTTTCCTCCAAACACAAATACAACTAGGAAACTATCACTCACTTTGTTTTGGTAAGAGTTTTGAGGCACTTGCAATACAATAAGGTCATAAAAGTGCTGAAGATTAGAGATGTTACAAGAGAGGTAAAAAAAAAAGTAAAGCTGGTTCCGAATCCGATCTGGACATTGGGAATTGCCTTGTTAGTGAGACAACTTCCTGGGCTTTCGGCATATTGTGGTAGGGTGGCCAGTAACAAACACAAAAATGAAGGAGGGGAGATAAGGACAATACAGTAGTCTCCGCCTAAATGCACGGTGCTCGGGAGGGCTCCTTAGCGTGTGTTTATACGGAGCGTGCGTTTACATGAACCTTTGCAAAGGGAGGAAGGGACGCAGTCATCTCATTGCCTTGATATTCTAGTGACCTCCCTTTGGGGTGGGGGTCACTTTGGGCCGATGTGACAACACGTGACTGTTTTGTAAAAGATTCCCTGACTGCGGTTAAGAATGCAAAGGTGTTGAATGGGTGTGTGTGTGTGGGGGGGGCGGCAGAAAGACAGACTCGATGTAATGAATGCACCAAACAATGTCGGGAACCAATAGCCTAAAAAGAAATTGTTCGTGATAGTCATAGAGACGACGGCCCGGCCACGTAGCTTCAAACACCAGTCAGAAACCTTCTCTCAAAGAGATGCATTTCCAGTGACCAATCAAATAACGTTTCAATCCCCCAACATATCACCAACCTGGAAAGTTGTGTGTGAAAATGCTGTTCATCGCTCTCTTTGTTCGGCGTAAGGGGCAGTCTCGCAAAATATCCGGCTTTCTAGGCTTGTCTTAAGCAAGCTATGCAGATCGTACAGTAGTTGTAGTGAAATTTCCCTTAGTCAAGCTTTACCTGTCAGCGTGTTTCGCAGGTTGGAGCGTGCGTTCAGGGGGAGTGACCGTGCGTTTGTACGTCTAAATTATATAGTTTTAAAAAACTTCAGAGGACGAAAGTGTGCGTTTGAGCGGAGCGTGCTTTTGTATGGCGTGCGTTTAGGCGGAGGCTACTGTAGATATTTAACAGGAAAGAAAGAGCAAGCCGCACCAGAGCATCCGCCAACCACACAGTTGTCCCTCACTGAATTTCATCTATAAACTAAAAGATGAGGTAGCACAAACAAAGAAAAAAAGAGACATACTGCTACATAAGGAATAAAAAGTTTGAACACTCTGTACTTCCGGTACCCAAGAAACTTCTCGAAGAAAAACAAATCTCACAACTTGTCCTGGACTCACCCTGGTCCAGGTGCTGCGAACTTGTCCCTCAACTGCTCCATGATGGCGTTGAAATCTGCATTGCGCTGGAGCTCGGTGCGTGTTTTCCCATAGCCCTTTTTGCCAGAGATGACACTCAACAGATAGTTGTACAAGGAGCGTAGTCCATGCTGCTGTAGCAAATCAAAGCCGTGGTACAGGCTTATGGCCAGGGCAAAGTCCGCCTCTATGTTCCCTGCCTGGGTTTTCTGTGGGAATGTGTGGATAGTGTATGAGCTTTGGGTTTCCAAAAACAGATTTTCAGCTATGGTACTGCATCACAATTAAGTCATATAAATACCAAAGATTAGAGGTGTTACAAGAGAGTAACAAACACACACAAAAAAAGAAGAGAGAGAGATGAGGACTATATATGTTTGATAGGCAAGAAGGAGCATACTACACAAGAGCACCCAACAACCACACACTACTCAAGACAGAAACACAACACAGGCATACTCTCTCATATTTTATACAAATGATCTAGAACAAAATTAGAATTGGAAAAGGATACGCACGCAGTGTAAGCCTTACAGTCCCAGAAAGAAAGAAAGAGAATGAGAGGGTAAATTATAATCCAAGAAACAAATGCCATGGGACAGGAACATAAAGAGGCACATGCCCCCTCATAGCTAAAAAAAAATATGAACGAACAGCATAAACCCTCTCTCATATTCCAAGACAGAAATGGAATGAGCAGTACAGCCTCTTACATTTCAGAACAGAAATAGGATGTGGCACCGAAACTCGACATCCTCATATTCCAACACAGAAACGGGAAGAGTAAGATACCTCCCTTATAACCTAAGACAAAAAATAGGATGGAAAGTAAGTGTCTTCGCGATCAAAAGCAGAACTAAAGTGGATAGTGTAACCCCTCATAACCTAAGACAAAAATGGGGATAGTAGCTTACACTTTCGTGACACAAGACAAAAATGGAAAGGAGAGAAAGGGTGAGCCAGTCAGAGACATGCCCTTGCAACATGGTACCCAAGAAAAATCTAGAAAAATGCCCAAAGTAAGACAGACCCAGCCTGGGCCAGTGGCTCTAAGATAGAAGCTCTCATTCGATTTGGAAACACTCTGACTGATCACTGCATTTGTGAAGAATGTCTGGTGTCACAATTTGAAAACCATAGAGGAAGAATAATCTAATGCTGCATACAATTCTTCCACATCTCTAGTTACTATCACCAGACACAATTTCCTACAACAAACTTTTCGCATCAGCACTTATATGACCTAAATTGTGTTGCAAGTGCTGTAAAACTTACTAAAACTAAAACTTATAACAAGGTAAATGGCCACAATTCTCGCATTTTCAGTTCCATTTGTGTCAATTGCCTACAGAATGAATGAACTTTGCAGTGAGACCATAAATTACCTGTAAATTTTGAGGTAGACTATATAATCTAAGCTGAAAACATAACAAATGTGTACAATCCATTTTGTGGGTGTTTTACCGATAATCTTCCAGGTGGATTCTGCCTGAATTCATCCCGTGCTTTCAGAATAAGAAACTTGGACAATTTCGTTGCTTCTCTGTTGTAGATGACCCGGATTTGTATCAATCGCTTCACTACCATTGTCATCACCTGTAACATAGTCATAGCGGCCTTCATGCGAGAGAACTAAGAAACCAAGTATAACATATAAGCTGAAGTCAAGGTGAAGCATATAGGCATAAAGCAGGACATACACCCAAAGGTATAGCTTGAGTGTAACACCCATTTCAACCCAAGAGAGTTATTTAACCCTCAAAGAGTCCAATACAATGTTCTCTGGTGTCAAAGCTAATTTAAAGTTTTTGAGTAAGGATAAGAACATAAAGAATAGCAATAGAAGTCAGCAAATGAGGTACTGATGACCAGCTGACTTGACACTTGGAGCATATATGCTGCTTTAAAACAGAACAATCTTTAAGATCTTATTATTAAATGTCCTTTCACTAATGAATGTTTCAGGCTTAGTAAGCAGTATAATGTACATTACTACAGACAACCAAGATTTTTAGGGAGAGATTCATTTTCAATAATTTCATTTTCATTTTTTGTTCAGTAGCATAGCAATCCTTTCTCTGATTAACAGAATGCAAATAAGCAGCGCCAATGACTGAAAAAAGAATAGAACAAGGGGGCCCAGGAAAAGAAACAGAGAGAATAATCAACCTGTTTTTTACAACTTGAAGTATGTTTATAAATATGAAGTGTGAAAAAAAGCTGAAGAACACCATTATTGATGTTCTTGTTGTTACTGAATTTGTTCTGGTTATTTTTGATCCAGCACTTAGATACTTTCATCCTTCTATCTATATCATGAAGTCATTTCTGCAGATTTCTTCAACAACATTATTACTAACTGGATGAAGATCAATTTGTTAGGATGAGGAAAAGGACAGACAAAACCCTGGGTGGTTGGCAGGTGCTCTAGTGTGGTTAGCTCCTTCTTTCCTGTCAAACATCTATGGCCCTGATCTCTCCTTTTTTTGTGTGTTTGTTACTCTCTTGTAACACTTCTAATCTTTAGCACTAATATGACCTTAGTATTGCAGGTGCCATAAAACTTTCACTAAAACAAAAAGACAAGACCTGAATATACTGCAGTCTGATGGCCGACAACTCCTGCCCCAGTGGCACCACCACCTTCTCTATCTTCCTCTCATGGGTGTAGGGTTTGATGTCGAAAGAGTCCTCAGACCGGAGTTCGATGTGGCTGATCAGTAAGTTGTTCATCATTTGCTGGACAGCCTGATCAGATAGACATGGTATGGTATGGTGGGGTAGGCATGGAAAAATAAGGTAGGATATGGCGTGGCGTGGAATGATATGATAAGCCTGGCATGGAATATTGTATGGCATTGTACAATAGAGAAATATAATATACTAGCCGGGTACACGTTCAATGAACGGACTTAAAAGAATTGTCGATCATCAAGTCATTGTGGAAACAGTGCGCACAGCTTGTGAACGGAAGCCTCACTTGTTCACAATGGCGTCTGAGAAGACGGAACTTCCAAAGATTAGATCTAAACGAAACTAATGAAAACTGAAAATTAAACTACAGTGACTTCAGACTCCTCAATAAAAATGTGCACCCTTTAAATGTTTCTGACCCACCGTTATTTTTTTCAACTTCGAAAGTGTAGTGGTTCGGAAGTTTTAGGTGGCCAAAGTGATGAACTTTCACAAATATAATATAGAGAGTTTCATGTGCTTTACACTTGTTTGTTTATTTAAGTAAAAAGATCACATCGATGCATCAAAGGTAATTTATAGCAGGGAAAAAGTAAGACAGACAAACAAAAACACAAGAGGGAAAGGAAATAAGTGGGGCCTACCAGTGGCACCCTCCAACCACCTGTTTGATTATAACTTGTTCACTTCCGTCTGTCCGCAGTTAAAACAGACTAAAAACAAATCACTGTTTTATCTTCATAGATAAAAAAAAGCCTATTAATGAAGGCCACTACAAACTAAGGTTCCGAATTGTTTTATTTTACATTAGACTAAAGTGGATCAAATAATAATGGGGAATTCATTGCACATACCGAAAAAATTAAGAAATTGACCAATTTTCATTGACACCACACTTAAATGCACGACTATAAAATGCATTTAAACACATGCGGTAAGTACTTTTTGAGACACACGTCCAGACAGTCTTGGGGAGGAATTTACAAGCTTACAACGAAAGAGGGGGGCAAGGTGGTGTCGCTGTCTCAAAATGGGCAATTTATAGGCTTTGTTTCTGTAAAACATCTATTGTAGTGATCCTCTGAATCCACCCAAAGAGTGGTGTTTGATACAGGGCCCAAATAAACTTTTGCAACTGAATAGATTTAAAAAAAAAAAAAAAATTTTGTTTGGTTACTGGCCTATAGGAGCGCCATGCAAAGTTAAATGTGCATTGGTAAATTAATAAATGACTTACAATTTCTTTAACAAGGTGCGACAAAAGTGAACAAAACTAATGAAAACACCCCTCTCAATACAGTATGATTACGATGAGGAAGACACTCCAGATCAACATACATCTCTGATATGATCAAGCCAGAAGGTGAAAAGTTATGAGAATTCTGATAACAACACAGGTTTTCATAAAAAGAAAAAGGCTTTTTAAAACCATAACAAAACAGAATTTAAAGTCATAGACAAAGCTATTAAGAAAGTAATCAAATAACTCGAGAGAGACATGGACTGGGCTTAAGACCATAGTGGGCTACAAAAATAAACCAACAAACATATGTGTTGACAACGAAGAGTATGCAAATAAACTAAATGCCTTTTTCTCCCGTTTTGACAAAGGCAGTCCGTGTGACTCGCCATGTGTGAACACCGACACAAAAGAAAATAATCCTGTTGTTGTTGAAGAACGTGAGGTTAGATGTGTGTTTGGACGTTTGAATGTGAGAAAGGCGTGTGGTCCAGACGGTGTGCAACCCAAAATTCTGAAAATGTGTTCAGCACAACTTAGTTTTATTTACACCTATATTATCAACCAGTCGTTGTTGACACATGCTATTCCTTCTATTTGGAAATGTTCTGAAATCGTCCCCCTTCCAAAGAAAGAAAAAATTACTGAAATGAATGACCTGTGGCCAATAGCCTTAACATCGGTAGTTATAAAATGTCTAGAAAAAATTGTGCTAAAAAGACTACGAACGTACATAGAACCCATCCAGGACCCTCTACAATTTGCATATCGTCATGGGAGAAGTGTGGAAGACGCCATTTTACTATTTCTTGACAACATATATAGACACTTAGACAAGCCTAAAACATACTGTAGGATCCTGTTTGTTGATTTTTTGTCAGCCTTTAATACTATCCAGCCAGCTATCCTTTTAAAGAAATTAGAAAACATAGGTGTTAACGTCAATTTAATATCATGGATAGGCAATTTTCTTCCCAACCGAACCCAGTATGTAAAATTAAAACATTCTTCATCGACATACATCACAACAAATACAGGGGCCCCTCAAGGATGTGTTTTGTCACCAGTTTTATTCACACTATACACGAACGATTGCCAAATAAACAACAGTAACATCAAGTTGATAAAATTTGCAGATGATTCAACTATAATTGGGCTAATTCAGGCTGACCATAACGAAACCGCTTACCGGAATTTTGCACTTAATTTTCTGAATGGTGTGAAAATCATAAGCTGCTTTTAAATGTGAAAAAAAACAAAAGAACTTGTCGTTGATTTTAGAATAAAGAAACTGCCCTTGCAGCCACTCAAAATGAAATGTGAAAACATCGAGCAAGTGTCAAACTATAAGTATTTGGGTGTTACAATAGACAACAAACTCAACTGGCGTGTCCACACTTCTCTCCTGCAAAAAAAAAGTGAACAAAAGACTATTTTTTCTAAGACAGCTAAAGTATTTTAAAGTTGATAAAACATTGATGTCCATGTTCTACCATTCAACCAGAGAAAGTATGATCAATTTTTGTATAACAGCATGGGCCGGGAACACAAGACAACAAGATAAAGAAAAATTAAATCGACTAATACGGAAAGCATGTAAAATTTCAACATCTTCATTCCCCTACTTGGATGAATTGTACATAACAGCTTGCACTAAGAAAATTAATTCCATCTTTTTAGACAACAAACATCCCTTGTTCCCTCAAATAAAAACATCAGTCAGAAGTAAAAGACCCATGCTTCTGATCTGTAACAAAGAAAGATACAGAAGGTCATTTTTACCATCATCTATCAAAATGCTTCCATCTTAACCATCTTGTTTAGTGTACTTACGACTTTAGAGCATGCATCAAAATAACATTGAGTGTGTATCTAGCTTACGATTATTATTGTTTATATTGCTGCTCATTTATATTATGCATGTGATTGTAAGCCTACTTGTGTGTGCATGTGTGTGCACGTGTGTACATGTGTGTTTGTGTGTGTGTGTGAGTGTGTGTGTGTGTGTGTGTGTACTCGTGGTGGAACACCAAACCAATGTGCCAGGATCTGGACAATAAAGATGTATCTTATCTTATCTTAGGTTCAAGAATGCTCTTTAGATTACTAAAAACCAGTGTCTCCCTCATCACAGTCCAGAAAATATCTCTCTTAAAAAGTATTTTGATATACAATGTTAAACAGGAGGCCAACCATTAGCAAAAAACATTAACTCTTGAATCTTTCTCCTTATTAGATCAGTTTCTAATTAATTTTAGTTTCAAATGAAGTCTTCGCTTGAATATTTATTTTGAACATCATACTGTGTGCACGTCTCACAACAAAAAGACCCAGTAATAACTTCTCACACACTCAGGAAGCCAGCCCACAACGTGACAAGACAAAGCCTTAGTTGGAACCTCCAGGAGAAGAGAAAGAGAGGGAGACTGAGATCCCTGAAGGAGTAAGATCTGGAGGCAGATCTCAGGAATATGGGACTAAAGCTGGATGGAGGTGAAGAAGAGAGACATGAAAATGTAAATACTATTACTTTTATGTAATATAAACTTTCATCTCAAGATTGAGATTTTTACTGTGAAATTTTAAAAATTTAATCTGATCATTGACCAAAACCAAGCCCTCCGGAGAACTGTTGTGAATGCAACCAACTTGCGTTTCCCGCGTTCACATCACCTTCTGCAGTTGCCAGCGCCGTTAAACTCTTTCTAAATTAAACTAAAGGAGAGCTCTTTTGGAGGCCTTTTCTCAATATCAGGGTAAATAGAGGCAAATGAAATGATTGACTTCTACAGTCTTAAAAAGAACCCACTCACCTTGAGATCACTGCCTGGAGTTGCACTGAGGGCCAAAATTCTGAATTTGTTGGTTTCCTTCACAAGTTCCCTCACAACCTGCAGATCATAGTCAAACTAATCAGAACCACCTCTTTTTGTATGATGAAAAATGTGCATAGAGAAAAAATGTATTCGTCATTAAAAAATTTTTTTTTTACAGAAATAAATCTCATACCACTTGCAAACAGATAATGAGTAAATCTTGCAGAATCTGATCCTTAATTTCCAGCCTTTTTTCTCTCACTGAATTTTTTGGACCGTGAAAGGTTCCTTTACAAACTGTAGATCATACTCACACTAAACAAAAACCACCTCTTTTACACCATGAGAAATTTGCACAGAGAACAAATTAATGTCATATCTTTAAAGAAACAAATCTCATACCATTGTCAATTGCAAACACATAACTAGTAAAACATGCGCAGAAACATGTGGTCAAGGAATCAGAAAATGCAAGTAGACTAAGTATGTCAAGCAATCTCAATGATCACTGCTTGAGACGTAAGACCACTCTGGTTGGCCTGGATAATAAAAGGGGCAGAACATCCAAAAGTTCAATAATAGTGTGTTTGTCACTGTATGAGCCATGTCATATTTCGTATAAAATATATCATTATATTATGTACACATACATAGCAATATATGTTGGAGGCATGGTTTCAGATAATCCATCAAAATGTCATAAAATCGTCTTTTCATTTCATCTTTTCTTTCCCCCTGTAAAAAACCCAGGGGCCCACTGAGACCAAAGCATTATTTAACTCACCTGACAGTAGGCGTGGTTCCCTGTGGCTTTGTGAGCCTCATCCACCACGAGACATTTGACAGTGTGCGCATCACATGACCGACTGGACAGGTCATTAGTCAGAACCTGAGGGGTCAAAAAGATGACACGTTTCTCTCTCCATGCTCGCTGCCTCAGCACGGGAGACATAGTGCCTGTTGGAAAAAATGTACAGAAAGATTTGCGGGTCAGCAAATATTTGAAATGTCAGGATTTGCTCAGCAAACACACCTAGGAATGAAAAATGTTCTATACAAAGAATATGATACCAAGAGCTTCATCCAATGGCAGAAAAGAAAAGGCATTTCCAGTTTATTTTGTGACATAATCAATAACAGCAAACAGTGGCCACTTATCACCAAAAAAAAGAACTACTACAAATCTACAATTTTTCAACAAATTGCAATTCAAAACTGCATTATCAAGCATGAGAAGAAAAGCATTCGTTGTTAAATGGGATTCATGTCCCAAAGTTTCGAGCTTTGAAATTAATAAATTTTAAACTTTTGATTCCACAATCATGGGAAACAATAACAACAGCACACCAATATGGATGATGTTCTTGTCTAACATGTGCCAAAATGCAAAGCTGTTTCATTTCTTTACTTCTCGGCATGGATTAATCTCGGATCCTCACTGAGTTGGTTTGCCTTTCTTCCACATTCATCAGGCAAAACGTGTCAAGGAAAACTTTATCTGACAAAACTAGGATCTTGATCCCACTAACCTTGAGGTCAGAAGCGAGAAAAAACCTGATTTAAAAGGATCGGAAGTTATCCACCAACCATGCTTTTACGAACCAGAAACAAGCCAAGCACTTTGGCATAAGAATAAGAGGCAAACATGTTACCACTAGCCAGCAAAAATCTGAACAGATACAGAAGCACTAGTGTGAATATTGAGATTGCATTCCTCCAATCTGCAAGTGTACACATTTTAAGCTTATCTTTGGAAACATTTACCTGTCATTTCTATTGTATCCTCTTTCGGGATCCCCATGATGTTGTAGCAAGCATTGACTTGTTGGGCAACCAGAGGTTTGGTTGGTGCCATGAAGATCACCTTGCTTTGAGGGAACCACCGATACATATTGTACATTAGTACAGCTGCGATGAAAGTCTTCCCCAAGCCAGTTGGCAAAACAACCAGGGTGTTCTTGTACAGGGCCTTCACGGGAAATTAAAATTGAAAATATTTTAAAAAGAAGAATGCAAAATGTCAGAAGATGAGAAAGTTCAATTTTGCAGTGAAAGAGTTAAGGCAGACCACACACAATTTTCCTTAGGAGATCTATTCACTCTACATATCTGACAAGACTACACAAAATATGTCAGCAAATGCGTGTGAAAATATATGTATTTGTCACAACATGGTGGAATCAGGCGCTCGTCAATTTTTGGGCATGTGGAGTTATTGGTATTATCTGAAAGCTTATTCATTTGCCTTGCTTTCAACCAAAAAAATACCCATCTATCTTAAATAAAAGTCGAGATATTTGCGATTAAAGAAGGTGGGGTCACCTGTTTTCAGTGATCAAATTAGCAAGGATTGGTAACTTAAATAGCTTCAATAGTCCTTGAAACCTGAAAAATTACATATTTTATGCCTTCAATCCCATTTTCAGTAAAATTCATATATATGGACATAAAAGGTGTTGACCCCAAATACTAAAATTCAATAAAAATTGGAAAACTGGCGGGAAAATGTCTATTTCTTCCATTTAATTATTTTGACGACCGCCTGATTTCACCACGATGCCTCACATATTTAATACATTTTTTAAAATAATCATTATTCAATTCAAAATTAAAACTATATGTGTGCATACTATAACAAAACAAATAATCAAAACAAAATAGAAGGCATGCAACTAGGCAGGGAGAACTGAGGAAATAAAATGGAAAAATAAATCAACAGCTGGCATTTCACCATCAAAAAAAATTATTAAAAAAAACAACTAATTTTGAAAAAATAATCCAACAAAATTTGTTGGTACATAATATGTTTTATATAACTTAAAGAAGTGTCATTGGGTTTTATTTCAAGAACAGGTTTATACCTTTTGTATAATATTGAACTGATAATCCCTGACAGGGTAATTTGTCGGATAAATCCACAAACTCCCAGCTTCCATGTCAAATTCCGGACAAACATCATCACTGCTCATGGCCGCTGACACTCCCTCATTACCATTGAGACCCAGGGATATGTTCGCTGCATCCTCTTCATTCATCTCTTCGTCAAAGTCGATGCCTTCCACTATCTCAGTGTATTCTGAATGTGAAAAGAAAATGCATATAATATGCATCAAGAAAGTATTGATTAAGGTTGTCTACAATTCCGGTGGTAATGAGTACAGATATCAGCTGCTCACATAACAGTGGAGAAAATTCTGGGAAGAGAGAGCTAAGCTGATGTTTAGATTTCGAAAAAAAAGTCTTCCTTTTGTAAAAAGTATATTTTTTCTCTCCCTTTTACTGCATTCAAACAAAGAAACACTTAAGTTGTACACATACTGAAATCACCTAATTGTGAACAAAATAGATATATATAGATATATAGTGTGTGTGTATCCCAGTGCATGTATGTAAGTGTCAATCATGTGTCTGTTATTTGCTCCCTTGCTTGACAGTACTTTTGAACATCATAGTTTTAGAATATGATATACCCTTCTAGAAAAACAAAAAACAAAACCAAAAAAAAACACAGAAATACTTTGAACTATAGTAAAATGAAAAAGGCAATTAGCAATTAGTTGCAATGAAAATTATTATACTGTCACCTTTGTCCTTATAACACAGAGCAGAGAGTTCTTCTGCTTGAAGCAAAATATCTTCATCCTCTTCCTCACCAAATCCAGCATCACTGCAAGCTGGTGACCGCAACATGGTTTTACTATATAATTCTAGTAACTGGGCTCACTCAACTGTGGATGAGAATGAAATGATCAGATGAAGAGGGTCAATTTGAGAGTGAAGAATTAGCATGATCCTGAAATCTTTTGATCTCTTTTATGAACCTGCTATACTATATATATTGTCATATCAAGGTTGAGACCATCTCACCTCACATGTGTTATGAAAATACAAGACAGTTCTCTAAATCTTGATCTAATTATTAGACAAATAATGAAAGGGCAAAATTCGACTGAATTCAGTTGTGACACTCAATAACAAACGCATTTCTTTTTCAAGGCCATAGTTGAAACATCAGATGTGTACAGCTGAACACCAGGTCATATCATTTTTAGTGCAGAATGCACTGATAAACAGTTTCGATTGGAGAGGCTGATACTGATGGATCTAGAAAGCTATTGTGACATTTACCTTTTCTGTAGGATTCAAGAAGTTTTGAACAAATCAAGCGATAATACATGCGGCAGTCACCAGTTGAAGAAATTTATAGTAAGAAAATGGCTGCGTTCACTGTTAAAGGTAAATCTTGTGCCTGTGATCGTGACAGTTTGCAGAAATCTTATTGTTTTCTATAAAAGGAGTACAAAAACAATATTGCATCACACAGTCGGTAAAATGCTCAGGTTCTGGCACAGGCTCTTGTCACATTTGAAACAACAAGGAAGGGGTCTCTTCGTGGTGTGCACTCACAAAAACAGCTGTTTATAAATCGACTAGACATCTGACCAATCTAAAAATGGGCATCCAGTATTGAGCACTGATAAGATTAGTAAAAGCCCAGATCTATGACATGAGTCATGAGGTATCATTGGGTGAAACTAACAAATAATATTTAGGATCAAACCAGCACACAAGCAGATTAGTAGTTAAAATTGGTGGGGAGAGAAAGTCCGGTCGCCAGTTGACTAGATCTCACCAGAGACAATGTACGTGAACATACACTGTCTCTCTTCTCACCGTGGTGTGCACGCGTGTGTGTGTGTGCGCGCTTGCTTGTGTGTGTAGACTGTAGTGCATGTGTATGTGTGTGTGTACTTGCTTGTGTGTGTGTATGTGTGGGTGTTCGCACGCGCTTGTGTGTGTGTGTGTGTGTGTGTGTACAACTTTGAGGAGAAGGTAAATTTATGGAACGAGAATTGCTGAGTGTTTATAAAAGATAACGCAAATTAATAGAACAAAAAAACAAAGACTGCGACATCTAGTCAACAGTTACTGGCCTGGGAAACCCAAGAATCTTGGGCTTGGAGGAAACCTCGGAAGACGACAAAAATAGATGGCAGAAATACGTCATCTATATTTGGGCTAATCACAGAGATGTGCTAGGTGCTCGCTGTAGCTTGATGTGTGTGTGTAAGTGTAAGTAACATTAAGTGTAGGCCTCCTAGACTAGTTAACACTACTAGATCTAAAAAAGATTCTAGATCTACTAGATCTAGTTTACTACTTTCACGAACACTACACAAATGAACTAGATCTACAACTGGATCTAGATTTAGAATCCACAATACATTTACATTACATTGATATTCACATTATCCTGGATTTAAAAAGTCTAGGCCCTATTCACATGCCTATTGATACATCAGATAACTCATAAGACTTCACTACAGTCCATGTCCTCTCTGGTGGATCACTACCTTGTAGTGGTTAGAGAGCTTGTGTGCCTCAGTGACCCCATGAGCTACGCTGGCAGGAGCTAATGCTCCTGGAAGGGCCACCAATGCCAGACAGGTTGATGGGTAGAGGTCAGACAAAGCGTGATCCACCGGCCCTCCAGGTATCGGAGATTCAGCTCAGGGCTAACAACCCAGACTGGTAAAAATCATATGTTACGGAAACAGCAGCAAAGGGAAACCATATTTCTGTGTGTAATGGACCTTCAGAGTCTCTTGAGACTCGTATGAATGCTGGAAGTGAAAGCCGGAAGGAAACTCTTCGCAGGAGGATGGAGGACCTGAACACCGCAAAGACAAAAGTTATTATAGGACAGTGGAATGTAAGGACAATGTACGAAACTGGTAAGTTGGCACAAGTAACGGCAGAGATGAGGAGATATGGATTGCAAGTTCCAGGCATATGTGAAAGTCATGGGACAGGACCTGGCAGGCTGAGAACAGCAACTGGAGAAACACCGATCTATTCTGGCAGAGAAGACAACAAACATAGGGAACGTGTAGCTATCACCCTTAAAAAGGGACTTGAGAAATGTCTCATGGAATGGAAACCAATCAACAGCAGAATGATGACACTGAGACTGAAGGGAAAGAACACCAACACAAGCATCATCCAATGTTACGCCCCTGACGACAGTGAAGATGAAAGCAAGGACTGACTGTTTTTAAGAACAGTTTTAGTTTTAGTAAAGAGTTTTACGGCACTTGCAACACAATAAGGTCATATAAGTGCCGAAGATTAGAGGTGTTACAAGAGAGTAACAACAAACGTAAAAAAGAAGGAGGAGAGATAAGGACGATAGATGTTTAAGAGGAAAGAAGGAGCAAACCACACCAAAGCACCCACCAACCAACCACAAGCAAGGGACAGCTGCAGAGGGAATTGACAAGTAAAGTATACCTCGTTACGACCTTATTGTTGTAATGGGCAATCTAAATGCTAAAGTAGGAGAGGACAATACCAACTATGAGAGAACGATGGGACAACATGGTACTGGTACAAGAAATGAGAACGGTGAAAGACTAGTGGACTTCTGCGCATTGAACAACTTGGTGATAGGAGGAACCCTCTTCCCACACCGTACAATCCGCAAACTGAACTGGAATTCCCCAAATGGCCGGGACAAGAACCAGACTGACCACCTTATGATAGGAGGAATGTGGAGGCGTTCCCTACAGAATGTGGAAGTCAGAAGAGGAGCAAATGTCGGCAGCGATCACCATCTAGTGACGGCAAGGATAAAACTCAAGCTGAAGAAAACATTCACCAGGGAGGCGACAAGGACACGTTTTAATGTTCAAAGGCTCAGGGATGGCCATGTGAGATCTGCCTTCCGATTAGAACTAAAGAACCGATTTCACCCCCAATTCAGACGAAGTCAATACCCAATGTAAGCATATTGAGGCCAACACAGAGAGCAGTAAGATATGTTTTGGTGTCAAGAAAAAGAATACAAGCAAAGAATAGATACAGCAAGGAACATGGAATACTATTGAAGAACGGAGAGAAATCAAGAAAAGACAGCTTGCAGCTAAGTCGATATGGCTACAAGAGAAGTACGCAGAGGATTACAAAGAAGCTTGCCAGAAAGTTAAGAGACTGGTCAAGAAGGACAAAAAAGAGAAGCCATGGAAAAGGAGGCAGAGCTGCTAAAGGCAACAAAGGCAACATATATACAAGATCACAGGAATAATATGTGGCAAGTACCACGGAGGAATGAGTGGACCAATCAAGGACAAGACTGGCAAGCTGCTGACAAGCAAGAAAGAACAGGAAGCACGCTGGACAGAACACTTCAGGGAAGTCCTAAACCAACCTTCACCTGAGGACACCCCAGATATGTACAGGAAGCTACCTTGGATCAGGATATATCAGCTCTGACCCACCACAGAGACACGAGATTTTAAAAGCTGTTAAGAGCTTGAAATCAGGAAAATATCCAAGAATGGACAACCTGAATGCTGAATTGTTTAAAGTAGACCCAGAACTGACTGCCACCATTCTTCAGCCACTATTCAAAACCATCTGGGAGGGAGAGCAGATTCCTGAGGACTGGAGCACTGGAGTCATTGCTAAGGTACCAAAGAAAGGAGCTCTTGGAGACTGCAACAACTGGAGAGGTATCACATTGTTATCAGTGCCCAGCAAGATCTTGGCCAAGATTATTATTAATCGGATGTCGGATGCCGTTGACAGCTGCTTAAGAAAAGAACAGGCAGGATTCCGAAAAGAAAAAAGATGCACAGATCAGATATTTGCCCTCCGCAATATAATAGAACAGTGCACGGAATGGCAGAGACAACTTAATGTAAACTTCGTTGATTTTGAAAAGGCTTTCGATAGTGTGCAAAGGGAAAGTCTTTGGTGCATTCTACGTTCTTATGGAATCCCTTGCAGGATCGTAGAGGTTATCAAGAGCTTCTACCAAAATTTCAAGTGCATCATTGGAAATGCTACTATTGCTTTTGAGGTAAAGAAAGGAGTTAGACAAGGATGCATCATGTCAGCAATTCGGTTCAACCTGGCCGTTGACTGGGTCATGAGGAAAACAATGGAGGCATAAGGTGTACCCTCTTCTCCACCCTTGAGGACCTTGATTTTGCCAATGACCTTGCACTTCTCTCCCATACCAACCAGTACATGCAGGAAAAAACAAACCGACTCCACAAATAGATTGGGTTAGGAATAAGCCAGAAGTGAGGACACTGAACGTAGGCTCCCCAACGCTGGTTAGAGTGAACAACGCAGACCTGCCTATAATAACAGACAAATTTACCTACCTAGGCAGCATAATTAAAACAGACGGAGACACAAAGGAAGACATCATGAACAGACTCGGCAAGCAAGATCTATACACAAAAGCATGATCAACATCTGGAAGTCAGGACAGTTCTGTATACAGACCAAGTTAAAGCTGTACAGCTGTGTACTATCCACCCTCCTATATGGATCTGAATGCTGGAGGATGACAGACCAATATCGGGCCAAGCTATGTTCTTTCCATACAACCAGCTTACGCCAAATCCTCCGAATCTTTTGGCCCAACAAAATTTCCAACGCAGATCTTTTACGGAAATGTAGGCAAGAGGACATGTCCACCATAATAACAAGGAGAAGATGGAGATGGATTGGGCATGTTCTGAGAAGAGAACCAGACTCTATTGTAAGGACTGCACTCCACTGGACACCCGAAGGACATCGCAAGAGGGGCAGACCCAAAATGACCTGGAGACGCACAGTAGAGTCTGAAATGAAGTCCTGGAACCATTCGTGAGGGACGTTGACCAAGATGGCCCAAAACATACAGAGCTGGAGATCCTTTGCTGCTGCCCTAAACGCCAGATAGCGTAATGGGTAGTAAGAAGACAGTCCATGCCGGCTTTAGGCACGTCATCGGGAGAAAGCATAAGCATGCTTTTATCATGCCGAAGCGTGCTTGAGTGCGAAGTAGACCTTGTCATAACCAAGACATTTTTATGTAAAAAAATGTCCTGAGTTATTTCCTTTTGTTCGTAAGTAGTGGTCACCCAAGAGTGTGAGCTGTCATTTTTACTCGCCATAGTACAGTCGAACCTGCCCTGACGGCCACCTGTACAAACGGCCACTTTCCATTCCCCCCTTGCGTTTTTTCTAATTTACCTGTGTAAAACGGGCACCTGTCCAACGCGGCCACCATGTTTCAACACACAACCCCTATCACACGTATTAGACGGCCACCTTAGTGACTCCATTACATTTTGTCATAAATCAAGCATTGGCCCCTGGCGTTG